TGCATATAAAAGAAAGGAAATTTAGTGTTTGTATCTGACTCTTAACAGGGCAGTAATAATGTTAAAAATGGTGATTAGGATTTTGTGCGTTTTAGTATGAATTTTAGGTTTTTAGTTAAAAATGACCGTTATTAATCCATTGAAATGCTGTTTTCCAGATGCCAAGCGGTTGATCGGGCGCAGGTTCGATGACTCGGTGGTGCAGTCTGACATGAAGCACTGGCCCTTCACCGTGGTGAACGACGCTGGCAGGCCCAAGGTGCAGGTGGAGTACAAAGGCGAGACCAAGAGTTTCTACCCCGAGGAAATCTCCTCCATGGTTTTAACCAAAATGAAGGAAATTGCAGAGGCCTATCTGGGCAAGGTGAGCCTGGGGATACAGTGGGATGTCATGAGAAGTTGTGGGAGGATTTCCAGGCTGACTCTGAGCTGTTTGCTGTGTTTGCAGACTGTCACCAATGCTGTGGTCACTGTCCCAGCCTATTTCAACGACTCGCAGCGCCAGGCCACCAAAGATGCCGGAACCATTGCGGGGCTCAACGTGCTGAGAATCATCAACGAGCCCACGGCAGCCGCCATTGCCTACGGGCTGGACAAGAAGGTATGGAGGGCTCACATTTAGGAATAATCCTTTTGCTAAGATCTTTTCTTCTGAGAGGCCTCAGATAATTACTGCTTACATTTCCTATCTGCTGCTGTGCACTGGAGCAGATACATCTTTGATTTGTCTGGTGGTTGTTTTTAATTAATGGCCAATCACAGCCCAGCTGTCTTGGAGCAGAACAGCAGGGCTGTGCTCTAAGCAGGGTTTGGGCTGTGCTTTGCACACTTAAATAGGAATTACACTAGGCAGACTTAATCAGCCACAAGATTGTATTATCGTTCCATTCCTTGCTAGCCTTCTGATGAAATAATTTTTTTATTGTTTTAGTGTAGTTTTAATATTAGAGGGCTCACATTTTAGGAATAATCTTAGCAAAGATTTTTTTCTTCTAAAAGGCCTCAGAAAGGAAATGTAAGCAGTAATTTGCTCACAGTAATTCATTCCTGTGCAATGAAACAGATACATCTTTGATTGGTCTCGTGGTTGTTTTTAATTAATGGCCAATCACAGCAGGGCTGTGCTCTAAGCAGGGTTTGGGCTGTGCTTTGCACACTTCAATGGGAATTACACTGGGCAGACTTAATCAGCCACAAGATTTTATTATCATTCCATTCCTTGCTAGCCTTCTGATAAAATAATTTATTTTAGTGTCATTTTAATATATCATTTTAAAATAAAATATCATTTATAAGGTCTTATAGATTTTACCATATAGATCATAAAATATAGATTATAAAGTAATATATATGTAGCATATATATAAAATAATATTACATTTAAAATAAAATGACATGTATAAGGTCTTTAAAATCTTACCTTATAGATCATAAAATATCATATATATAATACGTATATATAAAATAAAAATAATTTATTTAAAATATATCCTATATAAGGTCTTATAGATCTTACCTTAGAGATCCTAAAATATATAGATGGAAAAATAATATATATATAACATAAAATAGAAATATTTTATTTAAAATAAAATATCATCTATAAGGCCTTGTAGATCTTACCGCATAGATCATAAAACATCATATAGATAATGAAATAATATATATAACATATATATAAAACATTACATTTAAAATAAAGTGACATGTATAGGGTCTTAAAAATCTTACCTTATAGATCATAAAATATCATATAGATCATAATATATATATAACATATATACAAAATATTCCATTTTAGAAAATGACATCTATAAGGTCTTATAGATCTTACCTTATAGATCATAAAATATCATATAGATCATAAAATAATATATATTTAACATATATATAAAATAAAAATATTTAATGTAAAATCTCCTCTATAAGGCCTTATAGATATTACCTTATAGATCATAAAATATCATATAGATCATAGTATATATATAACATGTATATAAAATTAAATTACTTAAAATCTCATCTATAAGGTCTTATAGATCTTACCATATAGACCATAAACTAATTAATATAACATTTTATGGTGCATATTATACATATAATAAAAAAGTAAATATACCTTCTGAAACACAGAGTCAGGATTCTCTTCCCTCATCCTGGGCCCGCTGACGCTGCCACAGGGTCGCTGTGTTTCACTGTAGGAATTTCAGCACCAGTGTTTGAAGTAGGAATTAAACACTGGAAGTGTTTTCGCCGTTTTCCGCAGGTCGGTGCTGAGAGGAACGTTCTCA